GGAGGAGTTAACGCGACAAAAACATTAGGTACCTAAAGGACACTGGCGAAAAATTAGCATATTAATAATGATGTTTTTAGGTACCTTCTGCCTAGTATACCAATCAGTAGCACAGGCAGGGCGGCGCAAGGGAATCGTGACCCCCTCCTCCTCCCCTTGGGTTCCGAAGTAACTCGCGAGTCCGAAGGAATCCGAAGTAACTCGCGAGTCCGAAGGAATCCGAAGTAACTCGCGAGGAGGTTAGTCCCGAGTTATTGTGTTAGGTTAGTCCCGAGTTAGTCCGAGGGGCTCTTCAGGCCTCTTGGGACCTACGATTAAGGGCCCAATTTCGGGGCCTGATTTTGTTCCCCGATTTAAGGGCCCAATTTGTGGGCCAGGGACCACTGAACACAGAGCAGACCACGAGCACAGCTTCCTGTCAGTCTGAATCCTGTGGGCCCATTTCCCAAACAGAAGCAAGGCCGGGGGTCACGATCTGTGTTGGCCTGTGTCGGTCAGGGGTCCTCAGTGCGTAAGAGAATGAGAATAAGGGTCGTGTGTCGCTAGTGGCCCTGAGTCCGTCACGGGCTTTGAGGAGGCTCGAAGAGGGACTGAGCGGCCCCTCGGTACCAGAAATAAGGGGCCCGTTGGACTTCGGTACGGCCCCCACCCCCACCCGCAGTGACCTGACCTCAAATGTCAGTTAGAGGGCTTCTATAAAGGGCCTTATTACTACGCCAGGACCCGCGATTTGCAATGTTCAGGGTTCCTGACACAATGAGGGACTCCTGTGTCGGTCAGGGGTGACAGTGCTCATCAGGGGTCTTGTGGCGGCACCTGGTCCCGAGTCGGCCAGAAGCGGTATTTAAAGGGGCCATGCATGTCACATTAAGGACCACCGCCCGCAAAACCGTGATCTGAAATGCCAGTGGGAGCGTCTCTTGCACCGAATGGAGACCACTGAGACAGAACATTCCTCTGTTTCGGCCAGAGACCCCCAACACCGAACAGTCAGCTCCGTGTCGGTCTGAACTCTAGGGACCCACTTCCCAAGTAGCGACACGACTGGACCCGCAATGTACATTTGTCGGAGCCCCTGTAACTACGCGAGGCTCTTGTATCGTTCAGGGACCCACAGTGCCTTACAGTACATTCCGTGTCCACAAGGGGCCTCGAGTTGGTCAGGGGGAGATTTGCTCACAATGGACCGGGATGAGACCCTGAAGGACAAAGGGTCTCTGCGTTGGCTGTGGCCCTCTGAAAATGAAAGGAAAGACAAGGGCTTATGATGATCGGTAGCATTGGGGCAATGGAAGGGTCCTGTGCCAGTCAGGGTCGCCAGCACCGAACGGAGGACCCTCCACTATAATTCCAGCATGGGCCCGTTAAGCCGAACTAGAGTCTAAGTGCCAATTATTGGACCGCCTGCAGCGGTCGGGGATGTTGTTGCGTCAATGAGGGGCTCTACGTCGATCCGGTGTTCACTATGGCCTGTGCTGGTCAGAAGGCCTCCCGGGTCAGGGAGGGGACCAACGTGATATGAAATACCCCTCCAGGGGCATCCAAATCAACCAGGGAATCCTGCCCCATGTCTCCAGAATAGCAGCCAGAACACACCGCGCGGGTGGACGGAATGGCCCTTCGGCCCTTGACCGTGAGCAATAGTGTGCCCCCTAATGTTCTACTCAGGGGGTCGTCGCCTGCGAAATAAAGGGTCTCAGAAGTGTTGAAAAGAGCGTTTCGAAATGAGTTCAAAAACGAACAAGATCGTCCCATGTTTGTCTGATAGCGTTCATTATGCGTAGTTGATTGATGATGAAGCAAATCACATCAAAAGGTTTGAACCTGTGCGTCCGCAATCTCGGAACCAACGGCAGCGAGGGCCTGGCTTGCAGTTTCCGTAAAACTGAATGAGTAACATCAGGCGACGGATGCCGTGCGCGCGAGAACGACCGTCGTGGGATAATTATTCCGAATGCTTTTCAAAATTGAATCGTACTTTTAAAAGATTAGACCAGGTGTATCGTTTTACAGTTCCCAAGTTAGAGCTGTAAAAGCTGCTGCCATGGTTGATCTGCTCTAGACATATTAACAATAACAGTAACACGTAAAAGAGAGATTCTACCTTTACTCTTCCAGTTCCACTATCAGATGATTCCAGCTCCACTTCGTGGTCGTGTCAACGCCAATTCGTTATCATCATCAATGTAGAAATCGTACGGATGAAATGGACGTCTGGACGACTTTCAAAATTTGAAATTTGATGCCCTGAGTGTTCAAAGGTACTTTCAGACGCGTCACCATTTCCGTCCACTTGTTAGCGACGACGTGGTGTTGGCCACGGGACCAACGTTGCGCTGCCCATGGAGACTGCAACGCCTGACATCTTGGTTTTGTTGTCAAAATTTGCTATCGCGCATGCTCAGAACGCTGGACATAATTTGTTTGACCCATTCTGATCAAAAATCATTGGAGGGCTTCAATACAGTCGCATTGGAGGGCTTAGCCCCCCCCCCCCCCCCCTGAAAGTACATATAGTGATACCCCTGTTGAAAAGTGGTGCTGAAAACGGTGCTTGGCATGTTGGCAGTGAAGATGTTGCCCCATTGCACTTCAGCTCCAACAGAGTTCAAAGCAGACGTATTCATGGGATCCGCGGAAGCCTGCGAGGTGGCACAGCTATATTCGTTGGCCCTCAGCAACCCGCCCCCTATTACGATCGACGGCACTTGCTGACTCCCTTTCGGCATCGCTGTTGCTCACTTCGCCATATGATGCCCCTGTGACAAAAAAATCTGCGAAGCTCGTTGGTACCGAGGCACACACACATGTTTGTGTTCTATGGCGGTATTGACACGGCATGATGGAGGATACACATGATGGTGCTGACACGATATGCCAGTATCGACACAACATGACGGTATTGACACGGTATAAAGTATTGTCACGGCGTGACGGTATGGTCACGATATGCCGGTATTGACACGACATGACGGCATTGACACGGCATGACGGTATTGACACGGCATGACGGTATTGACACGACATGCCGGTATTGACACGACATGACGGCATTGACACAACATGACGGTATTGACACGACATCTTGGTATTGACACGACACCTCGGTACTGACACGACATGCTGGTGTTGACACTTGACGGCATTGACACGACATAACGATACTGACACGATATGACGGCATTGACGCGACATGATGGTATCGACACGACATTTCGGTAGTGACACGACATGCTGGTATTGACATTTGACGGCATTACCAGGACATGACGGTATTGATAAGACATGACGGCATTGACACGTGACGGTATTGACCCGACATTTCGGTAGTGACATGACATGCTGGTATTGACGCTTGGCGGCATTGACACGACATAACGGTATTGACGCGACATTTCGGTAGTGACACGACATGCTGGTATTGACATTTGACGGCATTGACAGGACATGGCAGTATTGACACGACATGATTGAATTGATACGACATGAGGGCATAATCCATGCTTGTATTCCATAACGGTGCTTCTCAGTGTGCATGGACTCACGGGTGTCGATGTATGCTCGTTGTGAGAGCCCTACCCCCCCCCCCCCCTAATGTTGAGTTGGGTCACCCAATGTTCGTACCCCCCCCCCCCCCAGCATACACACAATATTGAAATAGTTTATCATAACACAAAGACGATTTTTATCATTCCTCACAGTGACGTTACAATGGAGGCTGCAACTAGCAACTTGTAGCCGCAACCTCAGTGTCATGTCCTGAATTGAGGGGTAGCTTTATCTTATTTTAGCGCGGCATCGATGCTTCACCTTGTGGGTTGATTTCAGTTACAAAATGAGAAACCATACAGAAAACGAAAATTTGCTGGGACATTATTTTGATCTGATTCCGCGCTGAGCGTAGGTAACTGTTAGCACTCTTAACGTATCATTCCATAATTGTAATACATCTTCAACTGATCCAGTTTGCCTCGGCCCCTTATCCAAATAGCATGAAATGACCTTTACCGTGCCATGCGGCTACACAACTGTCGGGTGCCCTGTAGCCAGGCTGACACCATGAAGCTAATGGCCTCGTTGACGAGCCATATAAAACACTTTTTTTGGAAGGCGAACCTACCGCTGCGCGTTTCGCCGCATCATGAATGTGGTCAATATGACTTGATCGCTGTACGAAAGTTGGACTTCAGCCACGACAATCGGTGTTTCCGCGCGGCGATACGCGCCCTTTTTGCGGGCGTTGCACGCATTGCAGCTAATGGGCTCGTAAAAAGGCGACGCCTGTTAAGTGCCTTCTCACTAGCTTTTTGTCGAACGATATCACCTGTGACGTACAATGCAGTCACGCTTAGTTAAACTCAGATAAGTACGTGGCACCATTAATTGAAAAAGTGGCATTGTCTTTGACAGCCTTACTCTTTTCCGGGCAATATTGAGAGAAAGTTTGAGCTTCCTCTGGATCATGTGGTTAATGTGTTTAAAAATAGGCATGTAGCTGCGTTCTAGCATCATTTTAGAGAATTTATTTCAAATCTAGACTAACTGCTGCTAGTCTAGCTGTTGCAACTTGCACGGTTACTCTGCGCAAACGAAATCACTTCGGAAAAAATCACATTTGTCGGCCTTGTTTTGGGCATGAAAATATTTCTGAGGACGTGACAGGTGAAATGTCAGTCACAGGTAAAATGTGGCAAAGCAAGGCATTTATCCAGCTGACTTCGTGATAACTTCGTGACAATGACCTTACTCCTGCATTTCGGGGAACTTTTATTCGCATTTGAAACTTATTGAACACTGCTCTGCATCAGGAATGCGTAAGATCTGGCGCAAAATTTGCCCTCTTTCCTCCTTTTGGTGTGCGGTAATAAACCGAATCCCAGTAGCTGGCGGCGAGGCCCTATACTACTCTCGGCTGGCCCAGCAGCGCCAGTCGGCGCAGTGGCGCGCGCCGGCCCGCGCGCTCCAGAATTCGGCAGCCGGCTCGCCATAGCAACGGCCGAGTTGTTTGGCCGATATTCCCGACCCGCAGTTAAAATCTGTAGTGCACGCAGGCGTCTAGTCAAATTTTCCTGAGTTGATTGCGCGTACTTGATTAAATTTGAGGTTTTCTGATCATATTAATTCGCTTTCTGAAGGCCATGGCGACCTTGGAAACCCAATTTCAGAAGTTCTGTGTGTTTGGCGCCAGTCAAGGTTCAACGTCCGGTGGTCCTCAGATTGCGCTGTCCAATATCGACAAGTGGTTCAAGCAGGCCGGCGTTTTCACAAAGAAGTTCACAACGACCGACACGGGGATTCACTTTGGAAAACTCAAGTGAGCACATCTGTCCTCGTTGCTGGAGTGCATGAATTTCGTCGAGGTATGGGCTGAAATGATCGCGCCCTTGCCTCAGTTCGGGGCTATGGCATTGCCAACCACGAACATCCACCAACCATGTTTGTTACTGTGATGGCATCAACCCCTTGGGGCAGCCTAGACGCTGAAACAGGATCTGGCCATCAAGACAGATGCATGGTTGTGTGTATACGTTTTCCTTGTGCTCCCGCGTTAATTCAGCTCCCAGATGACTTTCAGATCTGTGAATGGCATGCCCCGCTCATTCACTGCGACGTCAAAAGCTTTAGCTTGAGTGACTTTACCTCTATAGGGTCATAAGATAGCAGCAGAATTAAAGCGAACCGTAGATCGATACTCCTGCCCATCACGATCTAGCTGCAAAATGGATGACTGGCACAACTTGGCCGATGTATCTCAAAGCCCCAAAAGCTCAAGCGCACATACCAGACTTGAGGAGATGCAGGCCAAAGTTGAAGATCATTCAGAGCCTTTCTCTTTGATCAAGCGTAAAATTTGCAGGTTCATAGACCATGACTCCAACATTTGCAAACCTGAAAGGCTAAGTTGAACATACAAAACTTTTCTAGGCATTTTGGACCAAAAATCAAGGTCCGTCGGAGCGGACCATTTTCGATTGAGCTGAAAATTTACAGACCCGTGGGGACTAGCCCAGATACTCAAAAACTTCAAACGTTAGGGTAAATGCACAAAACTTCAAAATAGAGGCCAATGTATAAGGTCGACCAGAGCAGACCCTGTCGACTGAGCTCAAAATTTGCAGTCTCAAAACCATGGGGTAACCATTTGATCACCTCAAAGAGTCATGCGGCAATAAACCAATATCCAAGACGTTATATGTCAAAGCTCAGTGTTGATAAATGCAGAATTTCCCATTAATCTGAAAATTTGCAGACTCAGACCAGACATTTTCCAATGCCCGAGCATTGGAAAATCTCAAAAGCTGAGGTGGACATGCGCGAATTTCCGAGATATTGCGGGCTAAACTTCAGGGTTAATCAGTGCGGACCCTTCCAATTGAGATGGAAATTTGAGAGCGATAGAGGTTAGTCTGAGCATTAAAAAGAGGCAATGTAAGATGGTCATGGACAACTTTCTAAGACATGCTAGGTCAAAGTTGGCTTCCAACTGAGCTAAAATTTATGAACTTACAGAGGCCAGATTAGGCATTTTGAAACCCGAACTGCTGATGTGGTCATTTGAAGATTTTCAAATTGTCTGGGGTAAGAATTAAAGGTTTGTGGTCAGATCACACGATTTGGCTGAAAATTTGTAGCCGATAGAACTTTATCTAGGTATCTTGAAATCCCCAAAACTTAAGTGGACGTACCACAGTTTGCGCTCGGGGGTCACTGAATGCTTATATAAGGAGGGACCGATTCTTTCATGTGTAGTTGGTATCGCGGATTGATTTAAACACTTTTCAATGCCTATCGTATTTAAACCATAAAGTCAGTCAATTATTGTTCGGGAGAGTTAAAGTGGTGTTGACGAAGTGATCCCGACGCTTGATCTTTCACATTTCAGAAGCTTTTTCAGATTTTCAGCTCAGTCGAAGTAGTCCGCTTTGACCTGTAATATTTCGGGAAGCATGCATGTTATGCATGCTATATATGTCTACCTTAGCTTTTCGCTGGTGGAGATGCATGCGTCAGGTCGCATTATTCCACCAATGTTAAAACCAGATCGGGGGAGTGCGGATGATTGATAAAAAGATTGATTGAAATCTGCTACTAGCTTGACAGCGTAATTTATACCAATACGACGGGGACGTAATGACAGAGTGATAACCGCACCGGGTTTCGACGGGGGGGGGGGGGGGGGAAGCCCGGGTTCGAATCCAGGCTGCGGCACAGACCCTGTGGCTGATGTGACTAATGCTGTCATCCACAAAAGGGATGTGATAATGTGAGAGATTTGCATGCCCATCTTAGCTTGTGAGGCTTTCTAACCTTTGGTTCAAGGTCCATGAGTCTACCAATTTTCAGCTCAGTTAAAAGAATCCGCCCTGATCGACTTTGAGCACAAACCTGAAATATCTCCGATGCTTTAAAGTCCACCCCAGATATTAAAGGTTTTTAAATACTTTGCCCAAGCTTCATGAAGTTATAAATGTTTAGTTCAATTGGATACGTACACACTGATTGGCCTTGAAGTTTGGGCTAGATATCTCGAAATTTGATTGTATTGGTTAGATTTTGGGGTTTTCCAATTCATGATGTAAGGCCTGCGTCTACAAATTTTGCTGTCAATCAAAAGTGTCTGCACTTACCAACTCGCAAGACACAGGGCGCTGACGCACAATACCTCGAAAATTGTTGCATGTCCCGCGTAGCTTTTGGGGTTTGCAGGTGCTTTGCCCACGTTTGGTAGGTCTGAAAATGTTGAATTCGCTTGAAAGGGTCCGCCGTTATCGATCTTGACCTGGCTTGTGGCTTGTAGCATCTTGACCCGCCAATATCTTGGGAGGCTTAGGATGTTCAGTTTTAGCTCTACGAGTCCACGAAATTTTCAGCTGAAAGGGAACGTTTCACATTTGAAGATAGTGAGACAAGGCCCAGATATGTTCAAATATGCTCGCTTGAAACGATCGGTGTACCTTTAAGTGCAAAAGTCTGCCCAGGGCAGCACAGTTTCACCACTCAGCAAACAGGCTCAATGCGTCATTGTTTGATTGCGTCATGGAACGTTTATATGACGCCAGAAAGGCTGCCAAACTGACCGTGCGAAGCTGCCACCCTAGGGAACGGGCTAACTCACTTGTAGTACTTCAGTCTCTCGAGAGGCGTCACGGTAATTTCCGCGGCGTTTCCAGAATCCAAATATCGTTGTGTGCGTGCATTTTGCCCTTTCCCGTGCTGTTCTTACATATAAATCCATGATTTTATCATGCTTCACTTGCTCGGCTATGACGCTTTTCCTAACATATTCAATTACACGTCTTGTTTCCGTAATAGCTAGCATCGCTGTCCAACTTCTAGCTCAAAACGTGATTTGTTTTTGAAGCTTGCGCTGAATGCGTAACATTGATTGGGAGCCAGTTGAAGGCCGTTGGCTTCAAGAAATCAAGCTCACATACGTTGGACGTGAACACATAGATGGTAATATTTGTATTGGCTTTGAACACCGCTTGACTAACCGGGTAGCAGTATTTAAGTGACGTTTCTGTGGCGCCATGCGTGCCTGAGTGGCTTGAAGAAGTCTGCAAGAAGTAATCTGCACAACGTCGCGGACATCTCGGTCGGTAATCACAGGGTTTATGCCTTCAGAAGGGCTCGGCTGTGAACCACACCGAATAATTTTCAAAAGGTCTATCTCAATTGAGAACCAGATGCAAATGTGAGTCACTCCCGCTAAGACGTGTTCGGGTGGGGGTCAAATTGACCCTCCGAAGGTTTTTCCGGAATGGTTTCCGAACGGCGTGGCGTAGCCGCGCCAAATTTCGCATAGTTGTAGACAATTGAATAGCGGATCGTCTGGCATCAAAAGTTTAGATGTACCTTGTAAGGTCGCTGACCTATCCCAGGTAAAAAAAACAGGCCATGGTTTCAGCGAAAGCAATTTCTCGGGAATCGTTCAATGTTATCCAACAACGGAATGTTAGACGGAGCCATACATCTCTGATCTTAGGCAACACAACAATCAAATATACAAATAGAATTGACCTAAGGTCAGGTATGAATGCCAGTCCAAGGCCAAAACCAACCTGTATTATTATTCTAGCGTTTGCTGTATGGGGTAGTTTCTGGTGCTCATTTCAAATTGATTGATGACAGGAACCGCGTTATACACCTTCCATGGACTTCTTGAAGATCAGAATACGTCACTGACCTAAAATGACCCAGGTCGACATTTTGTTTTTACGAACATACTGCCTAGCGTAATCTTTGTCTCGTATTCAGATGCAAAACTCAAAGCAGTCTTGTATGACTGTGGTCACCATAACCTTTCAAAGGGCAAGCAAGGTCACTGACCTTAATGGGCATGTGACCTTTTTCTTAGAATAATAATCTAAGTTCAAGGGGCCCTTTGGAGACCAACCTGGAATTTGACCTTGTTTAATCTCATTTGACCCGAAGGTCGTGACCTAAGAACCTCACACTTTGACCTGATTGAGTTTACATACAGTTCAACACACCTTGTGAATTTGATGTTTACCTATTTTAGTTCCTGAGATCTCAGTGGGGTCAAATTGACCTCTCACCGGAGCGGAGGGTGTTCAGCCGGCCACGCGGGCGCGTGCTAATCAAAAGGGCCGGCTATGGTTTACGTTGAGCTTTGGCCTATCTTCACATTAGCTTTAGAGTTTCTCAGCTCCTCTAGTCGTGGTCTATAGATGTACAAGTTGTAAGCCCAGTTGAGAGGGTTCGCTCTGGTTGACCTTGAACTTTGACCTTAAGTATCCTGTGAAGTTTGCACGCCCACCTTAGAGCTTCGGGATGTGAGATGCATGGGCCGATGTCTGTAAGCCTACCAATTTTCGACCAGGTCGTGTGCGTCCGGAATATTTTTCTACAGTTTGATATAAATCTGCTGCCAGCTGGAAATACGTAGTCTTTTTCCAATATGGGTAGTGGTGCCAACTAACTAGGCTTGACACGCGTTCGGGTAGGGTGTCAATTTGCCCCGAAGATTTTTCAAAATTATTCACGAACGTCGCGGCGCACCCGTGCCAAACTTTGCATATCCGCAGCATTTGAGCTAGTCAAGCTTTTGGTGCTAAAATATAGAAAATTCGATGTGCATTGTAAGGTCGCTGACCTATGGCGGATCAAAGCCAGGCCATGGCTGTTAGCGAAGGTAACTTCTGAGAATCGTGCAAGCTGATACGACATCGCAGTTTACACGAAGTCGTATATCTTTGAGACGATTTCTTTAACAACTCGACAATCTAATATATGATTAGGACGAACTCCATTGACCTTAGACATATAAAGTAAGGGTCAAGGTAAAATCAAAATTGCTTTTGTACTAAAGACCTTACCTTGACGAGTAGTTTCTTTTGCTAGTTTCGGATTTTCGGAACCCAGATAGGTCAGTAAATGCGTTATTGAACTTCAGTTACTGACCTTCATTGACTCGACCAGCCTTTTGTTTTTAGGAGCATGCCGGATTTAGGAGAATTAGCGCCCACTGAAATTCAAAAAAACAAAACAATGCCGCAGGTTTTCCCTCACCGTTACCTTCTCAATATTAAATAGGACCACTTGCCTTAAATGAACGCCAGTAATCTTGTGCTTAAAAGAGATGTCCGGGTTACAGGTAGCTGCATAAGTATTTCTGAGGAAACTTCGGACATCAATCTAGATTTTGACCTTGTTTAACCCCAAAGTCATGACAAAAGGGACCTCAATAGTGGATGCAAGTGATTTCACACAGGCCTATCTATCCTGTGAATTGGTGTCCTGATCTCAGGGCGGTGTCAAATCGACCCTTAACCCGAGCGCGTCGTATTCAACCGGCCACCCAAGCGCGTGTTACGTTGTCGATCTCTGACCGAGATATTGAACGTGTTATGCACAATCATCGTCCTTTTTAAGCGTTTTGGGAAAAATTTGGCCTAACGACTTGGCTTGGCTCAGGATGTTGCGGGCATGCATCATTGTTCAAGTTTTCACCGCGTGGCCGGACTTCGCTTGTAATATAGTGAATTAAATGAAAATACAGCCAAAAAAGCATTACGTGATGTACATTTTGTCATGAAAAGTCGATAGGAATTTCTGACGCCTACGCAGTAAGTTATACGTAAATTGAGGCTATTAAATACGATAAAATGTGCCGCGAAGCACAAAGCCTTACCATAATCCAAGGTATATAAACACTTTGAGAGATGGTGAATGGGGCTCCCAACTTTGGTTAGGCAGTGCCAAAAATTCCGAACTGCACTAACTTTTATCTGGGACAGTTGGTATTCTTAAAAGCTGCCGCACGTTGCAGCCAAATGCATACTCATAGCGATGTGTTATGGAGCATACTGCTTAGCATACTCATACCTAAGATAGTTGTTCTGCATTTATTTGATCCAGTACAAGAACGCGGAACCAGGGGCGGGGGCAGTGTGAGCAGCCCCCCCCCCCCCCAACTTGGAAAGCCTGTGGATTTTATTTTTATTATTATTTTAGTATGCTAAGGGCCCATTCTGAACTGTAAAGGGTTATGTAAGCCTGTAAAAGTACACTCTGACCTGTCAAGGCTTCATTCTGGCCTGTGACGGGTCCGTTCTGATCAAAAGAGCGAAATCTAGTCTATAGGGGCCCATTCTGACCCATAGGAGGCCTCTTGTCTCTAGAGAATCCATGCCGTCCTGAAGAGGCTCATTCTGATCTGCAGATGGCCGTTATTGATTGTGGAGGGTCCATTCTGACCTGTAGAAGACCCATTCTGATCAAGAGAGTTCACTCTGACCTGTAAAAGCTTCGTTATAACCTGAAGGGGGCCCGTTACAACCATTCTGGCTGGGAGAGGGGTTCATCCAGGCCCGCGAAGCGCCTGTTCTAGCCTTAAATAGCCCATTTGGGCCTAACGAGGGCCCATTGTGTCCCGTAAAGGTCCCATTCTGACCTATGGTGCGTAGAAGGCCCGGCTAACCTGTAAAAGGCCCATTATTAACTGTGAAAGTCCTATTCTGCCATGTAGATGGCTCATTGTGAACTGAAGTGTTTCCATTTTAGACTGCAAAGGTCCCAGGCTCCCATTTTAAACTTCGAAATATTTTGTAGCTCGCCTCCCCCTCGACTCGTGCATAGTTCCCCCGCCCCTGGCCCAGTATTCCCTCTTTGGTCACGCAGTGAGAGGACTCAGAGGAGCTTTGGGTTGGAGGGGTTCAAGTTAGCACCGGGGGTAGGATGCCCAGCTAAAAGTATCTCAGATGACGCCCCTGTTTGTAACTCCCCTCCCCTGAATGTGTTTGCTGGAATACCTGTTCCTGATTTAGAGGAAAGTTAAATGTCACACAGCCTATACTCTTTGCACATTATTGCATAACCACGACTACTCTTCTGCTGCAAAAAAGCGTTCGTTAAATCGCGCAAAAATGGAAATGGGAAATTGGCCGTTTGCCCTATCAACGTGGGCTAACCCCGTTGAGAGAAGCGCATTTACAGGACGTCAGGTTATTGGGACCTTCGACCCCCCCCCCCCCCCGCCCACCACCCCCACCACCGACCCTTACAGTCGTTTACACAAATGGATGCATCTGTCCCGAGTTTAGTATTCACTCAATGATTTATCAAACCACCCCAACTTGGGAAGGGTACGGGTCACCCATCACATTATCCCGCATCTTACTTCGCAGCATAACCAGCTCACTTTTTGCAGACAGAAGAAAATTGGTTTCGGTGACTTTAATAAATTTTTGGAAGACATAACATCAACCAAGAAGATGGATTTGGATGCTTTCAAGACGAAGTTGACGAATTGTGGCGATCCCGGAACCAAGGGCGCAACGGTAAGAATTATAACGGATTTGACGAACGAAAAATATTCCAGCAGGTTCAATTACACCTGGACTACGTGGGCATAATTTTGTGGTGTGACATCGCATTTTTCACTCCGAGGTTCACTCACTCCATTTTTCACATCTGGAAGTTTTTGTGCTGGTACGTGGTCTGGGAACATGAAAGTAATAATAATGAGACGAAGAACCAAATATGCGCAGATCAATGCCTCGCTCCGAACGCCACCTCGTATTCCCAGCTAGGAGCTGGAATACCTGCTGAGGGCGGAGGCTGCGACAGGCCCCGGGTGCAAAGGATTCATCCACTGCGCCGGACGCTTACGTGACGTCGGTGCTTCCAACCTGGGTCACGCGTGCGCTGAACCTAGGCCATGCTAAATCGCACTGAATTTTCAAACTATTTTTGCTTGGAAAAAAATATTTTGGGGTATTTTTGCACCAGATTTCCTTGCCAACATTACCATTCCTCGAAACTTTGATTCTCTGCGCTGAAATTGGTGGAAACCGCACGCTAAACTCGAAGTTTTCGGATTCATGGCATGCATGCCTAGAAATTATTACAGAGATCCCGGTGCTACGCCGGCCATGTTCGACGCAACGTGCTTTTTATTGCAGGCTGGTCGCTGGTCCGTTGATTTAAGGAGGCTCTGTCCGCCCAGCCTTCCTAGCAGGTCTGGCAGCCTGGTTTGCGGAGGAGCTTAAATCGTTTTGCCGAAGAATCTAAGTTTCCCCAAAACTGGATTTTTTACGAGATTGGTGTAACTGTGTCTTGCTATGGAAAAGCGCGGGGGGCAGTTTAAGAAAACTTGATTAAAATTAGTGGAACAGTTCACAGCCGCAGCCTACACCTGGGTTTCAACTGCAACTGTGCCATTTTGCCTTTTCTTTTAAACGCTAGGTGGACGTAACCAAACAAACGTACCGCCAGGACATTGGCGGATATAGCCATCCAGTTCGGGGAAAATGGCAAACCGGTCCGGCAAATAACAAACATTGTGCATGTATATTTCGACTTTACCCCTAGTGTTTGGGTTAAATCTATTCGAATCATATGAGAAGATATTCGAGGAAATTATGGCATTGACAATGTGGGGCTGAGCCACGGTTTCCGTATTAGTTGAGCTGCCAGGCTTTTACTTCATATATGAGACCCTGCAACGTCGATCACCGCGCGACCTTTTGTCACGGAAATATGTTCCATGTAACCAGGAAATGTAAATAAGTTTAGTTGCCACTTGTGCAGCTTTGAGCGTTTTTCAGCATTCAAGATGGTGGCCACCGCCATCTTGAATGTTGGTCCGGTTTCAAGTTCTTTTTTCTCGACGTTTTTAAAGGTCGTGTGACACCGCTCTTGAGGGGTTTTCTGGGACAGGGTGCCCATTCCCGCAGTTTTTCATGCACCGGGTCAAAACGTAAGGTCACATCGAGTGTGAAAAGTCAAAGATGATCACAAAGTACGAAAATCACCTTAAGTGATCTATATATGTCTTTCGTTCTCTTCTCATACTCATTGTAAGGATATCACTCGCAGAAACTGCATGCATTATATACGACAAGGTAAAGCCTTGCATGAAGATGTGCTACATACACGACGTATGCATCGAATGATACGCTTTTCACTTGAGTGGGTACGTATAGTCGAGTCGCCATCCTTATGCTTCCTATATTCTCCCCGTCATGTCAACTACCGAGAACTTTTGAGGGAAATCTTCTATGTAACTAGTTTTATGCACCTAGGAGAGCCCAATTAGCTTGGGTGCTACTTGCGCACCTTTGTGCATTATTCAGAATTCAAGATCGTGGCCACCGCCATCTTAGATGTGGGTCAGGTTTCAACATTCTAACTCGCCGGCTTGGAGGGTCGTGCGGTACTGTGCTTTTAAGGGATTTTCGATGTCAGGGAGCTCATTTCTTCAATTAATTTTTATGTTTGGGATCAAAGTCAAGGTCATATCGAAAGTAATAGGTCAAACTTGATTATGCATCACCAAAGAATTATAAGAAATTATACCACTCTATTGATCGATATGTGCCGTGTATTGTCTTCGGATACTCATTGTACGGATACAACAACCGCTGCGTGTATCATATGCACGTCTCATGCAGTATAGAAAACCATAATCAAGACAAAGCCGTGTACTATCGGATGCATTATGCTGTCCATTTAGAAACTCGTCGCTGCAGAGCGATTCACGATAATTGGGGGTGGGGGTGCCAGGGGGTGCTGTCATAGCTCAAAATCATGCTACTGTAGCTATATATGGAGGAGAAGAAACAATGAAGTATGAAAGTCTCCGCGGGCTCATGCCGCGATTCCCCAGAAGTTGTTGAAGTTCCATCACAGTGACTGATTTGGAACGAGACAGTCTGTTGTTTGGGAAACAGTGTATGCTGAAAGACTAGACCCACGCAGCTCAGTACAGGTCAAACATTGTAAAACCGTGAATAGGCGTAGTGAAATATCGTTTAAGTAACAGCTGCAGAACACTGGGCAAGAGTTGCAGGCGGGTGATTACACTCATTGGGGTGTTTGGTCTGCATCCGGCTGGTGCTTGATGCCATGTCCCTTGTTACAATCGGCTCTGTGCAGATCCCGTGCACTGCCCCTCCACCAAGACGCCTGCCCGCGTCCTCTGGGTCGAGTGCTCTCGGGCTGACCCCAGGTAATCACTCAACTCTTAGCATGGCTGTTGCCATGCAATAGATTGGAGCGCGGCGATGATGAGCGGTGTGCCCTTATGGCGTTGATCCAGGCCTTACTGCTTGCCCTGCTGTTCATGCCGCCACCAAACGCTGCGCTCATAGTTACGCCACGACGGATCCCCTCAGCAGTGTTCCTAAACAATCATGTACAAATAAGCTTAAAGGAGAACGTTATGAGATCCTGAATCGTTTCCATTCTACCGAAGGGTCTTATAGATCTTGTTTGTTGAATATTTTCAAAAGGCCTTTTCAGATCTTGGGCTACCAATACTTGCTTGCTGGCGTGCTTAACCAGTACCTCCTGGTGCATCACTGCACTGTAACTCCTGGTAAAGTACGGGACTGACCTAGATTTTCCACGGCTAGCTCAGTCCCAGTCCCAACAACCAAAAATGCGTGCCGCCACCCTCGCCCAGTATCGTTAACATTACAGCCAGTCTTTTGCTGTACGGGCCACATATGATGAATGACGGAGCCAATATTTCGCTCAGGAGAGGGTCAATTTGGGTGCAGGGCGCCCTTTAAGTCGAGAGCCCCTCTTTGTTTCTAGAGGGTCCTGCTTGTTAAAAATTCGTAGAGGCTTTTTAGACTCAGGATAATATTTTGATACATTTGGGACCTGTTTTGGAAAACCTTCGGGCGTTTTATGTTGCAAAAAGCTCCAAGACGTTCAGTTTCAGGAGAAACTTAGCATAATCAAACGGGCCTGGAGAAACTTAACATAATCAAACATTTCGTAAGCCGTGGGAACACGATTCTGTACGTCGTTCCACTGTATCCACAGAAAGCGGTCAAGACGGGTGCCGTGGACCGTCTCACAGACACCAGCAAGTACACTGGCAGCCACAAGGAGCGCTTCGACGAGTCGGGCAAGGGCAAGGGCATCGCCGGAAGAGAAGAGCAGACCAGCAACGACGGCTACGTGTCAGGCTACAAGGAGAAAGACACCTACGACAAAACCCACTAGGTGGCAGCACTATCGCCCGACAGGCGGCGCTCGGTGGTCAGTGTACGCCACATTCACGATTCAAGCTGGGGTACGCCGATCTCGGAGGACTCTTGAGGTATTGTGACAATTGACGAGCGTATTTTAAACGTTGCGAACGCATGATGTTGAGCACCACTGGCTCGCTGCCGTCCGTACAACTTAAGTGATCGCGACGTCTGGAAAACATGACGAAATGCTCCTATCCATGGCGCACGTCGTTCTTTCGACATTGTGATATTTTATCCAGCCGTAAATCATCGCAAATATTGCTGCGTATTTAGTGCAGAACACAACAATCCACACGACAGCGGAATAAAAGTCCACTAAAAATTTGTTTCGTTTGGTTTCGCGTTGGAGCCGCGGACAGCTAAACCAGGGCGATCCGCTAACATTCCTGATGCCCACCAGTGATTATTGGTGTGAATTCGCACGGCACATACAGGGTTGCAGCGGATCCAGCTATGCAATGAGACCGTGCCTGCTAGAACGGTACTGGCCGTAGCGTGGGGCAACTTTTGCTGACTAGGCTATCTTCCGCCAATATGGAAATATGATAACATACGGGATTTTAGGTTTTACTGAGGGAATCCTCAAAGTTGTTTAACTAAAATATGGAATGCGTGCGTCTAGATTCAGGTAGTTGAGAGACCTGCGCGTTTCCTGGATTCCTGCATGACCATGTGTTAACAATGTCGGATGTCTTTGTGATTCTTCACACACCGGCCTGTTGCTCTGCGTGGTGTCAACACAATGCGCTCCAGATCAGAAAAAATCACCGAACTCTTTCCAAAGATCCTGCTCTCATAGTGAGGCGGGTGACCAGGGTGGCATGGTGACCGAGGCGGGTGTTCCGATATGTAACGAGCAGACGGGTGTTGCAATATGTAACGGGCGGACGGGTGTTGCAATATGTAACGAGCAAACGGGTGTTGCAATATGTAACGAGCAAACGGGTGTTGCAGTATTTAACGAGCAAACGGGTGTTGCAATATGTAACAGGCGGACGGGTGTTGCAATATGTAACGAGCAAACGGGTGTTGCAATATGTAACGAGCAAACGGGTGTTGCAGTATTTAACGTGCAAACGGGTGTTGCAATATGTAACGGGCGGACGGGTGTTGCAATATGTAACGAGCAAACGGGTGTTGCAATATGTAACGGGCGGACGGGTGTTGCAATATGTAACGAGCAAACGGGTGTTGCAATATTTAACGAGCAAACGGGTGTTGCAATATGTAACGGGCGGACGGGTGTTCCAATATGTAACGAGCAAACGGGTGTTGCAATATCTAACGAGCAAACGCGTGTTGCAATATTTAACGAGCAAACGGGTGTTGCGATATGTAACGAGCGGACAGGTGTTGCATTATTTAACGAGCAAACTGGTGTTGCAATATTTAACGAGTAAACAGGTGTTGCAATATTTAACGAGCAAACGGGTGTTGCGATATGTAGCGAGCAGACGGGTGTTGCAATATAACGAGCAAACGGTTGTTGCAAATATCTAAAGAGCAAACGGGTATTGCAATATTTAAAGAGCAAACGGGTATTGCAATATTTTACGAGCAGACGAGTGTTACGCTATGCAACAAACGGACGAGTGTTGCGATCTGTAACGAGCAGACAGGTGTTGCAGTATTTAACGTGCAAACGGGTGTTGCAATATTTAACGAGCAAACGGGTGTTGCAATATTTTAAGAGCAGACGGGTGTTGCGGTATGTAACGAACGGGCGGGTGTGCGATATGTAATGAGCGGACGGGTGTTGCGATACTTAACGAGCAGACGGGTGATGTAATATTAAACGAGCAGATGAGCGTTGCGATATTCAACGAGCACTTGACACAACTGATCTTCTGTTCAAAACTCTCCGACATGATCATCAAAAGCTTTTTATACAAGACCACATGCTTGCCAACGCTCACAACGCAGTGGCCGCACTTAAACGCTTTGTGTCCTTATACAAGCTGAGCGAGTGAAACCAAACAAGCCAAACGGCCTGATGACGTTCGTTTCCACTTGTCAAGAGGGCTGAACGGGTTCGCAGCGACAGTTCGGACTTCCAGCCCAAAAGACACCGACTAACTGCAGCGCCGGTGAACAGTGCACGCCGTGCAGGCCGGGCCGATCAATAGTGGGACTCGCACGCGCTCACGGCGTACGCTGTCTGGTCGGCCGCGCCAAACCGGACCATACGAGCTTACAATCATCACGTACACCGTACATGTCCCGGTGCAGTCACCTGCTTCTGAATGCACATTCGGTGATCTGTCTGCTAATGTGCTAATTGTTAGATGCTGATGCAGACAGTTATTTCACTAGCTTCATGTTTTGTCGCACCTACGGCGTCCGTGACGAAGCCGTACTGTACGACGAAGCGACCATGATGAAGCCCCACCGAAGCCATACGCTGGCAGCCTCCGAACAGACGCAATCGTTGTTCACACGCGCACTGACACGCAGAGCATTGGCGATGTCATGACGTCACCTTCGCAGTACGTTAGTGTCGGACAGCTGGTGGCAGCCGGGTGCGCGCCAAACCATTTAGTGGGCGTTGAGCACGAGCTAAGTTTATCTTAGGTTACCCGCCAGCCAGCTGCGGGGCTGAACTTGGCAAGCTGCTGAGGGCCTCACCCGGTTAATTCAGCGTAGAGCGGTCGGTCGGCTTGTTACTGTCGCGAAGCATTTAACTGAGAGGTGGGTGCTCCACGGCGGCCATATAATGCGTCTCAATATGCCGCGAAGGCTTGAATCTTACTCTATCCCTAAATTATTAACACGGTTAATTTTTGCAGGAGGAAGGCAAACTTGTGCAGTCTAGAATCTTGCCAAATCAAGCTAACCATATTCATGATCATGCTGGGCGTAGTTGAAGCCGCCGTTCTGTTACTTGACTTCAAACATGCCCAAATCGGCAGGTTTAAATAATTTTTCCCGATCGTTTTGTGGCATGATCAAGTCGCCAGTCATTGTGTGGTGAATCGTCAATGCCTTGTGCTGCGATTTGTCCCAGAGTGCAGATTGCGGATGGGAAAAAGTAGTGCAATAGTCTAAGCCATCGGTCAAACCGTTTGGCGTTCATTGGTGGAAATTCGTGCAAGTTTGCTACAAAACGTCACTCGAAATTAGTCGGGATGGCGTGGATCATAGCGAAGGGGCTATCAAATACATTCAAGTCAAAAACATCATGAGCTTACTGTCCGTGACACCTGAGCGAGTCCCATAACACGTAGATGGGCCATTAGTGTTGATCTGATTATTATTGACTAAGGCGGACTGCCTCACGATTCAAATCGATGAATTTCCGACAAAATGTCTCAACATTATTGGCAAAAATAAAGATTGTCCCGTCTGTTCAATGCTGAAAGCACCTTAGCATTCTATATTGAGATATAGAATATATATTACTACCTGTTCAAAATTCAAATACCAAGTCTACCAGTCTTTGGATTTTTCAGTTTCTCAAGAAAAGACAGCGCTGTTTTCGTTTAGTCCTCGCGTTGAATGCCGGCTATGGACCATGTGGAAGTGGAAATGACAAGGACTTTAGGCGTCCCCCTCCCTTGGTACTTTTTTATTACAAAGATCCATAGACGCACCAAACATTTGGTGGTTCATGCGGAACTTGAGCAGATTTGTAAAGGCTTTTTCGTTGCTTGAGGTCATGGCCGAAGTCATATTAGGTCATATCATCATTCCTATTTTGCCATGTTTCCTTTGATACTACATCTCTTTATATCTGCGTGAAATTGTCTCTAAAATATGCTATAAGTGCTAAAAATAATTGTTTGCATACACTAGGGGTGTGTGCCACAGGTCAACATAAACCATCGATTTTGTTCGTTGTTTTTCCATTTATTTGGGCCTCACCCTAGGCCCCTGACATACGTTAACCTTTCGGGGGATAACGCTACCATATCTTGGCCGGGAGGCAATGCTTATCAAAATGTGGAATTGAGCTAGACTTTGATGTCAAATAAACACAGTGTCATGCGGCAGATCTCAAGGTCATCTCAGGTCATTGAGGTCACTACACTAAGGTGAGCTCTTCTTTGTCTCACAGGTGACTAGTTACATTCTAACATACAATTACATCAATACTGTAGGTATTATATGCATCAACAAGTTGTTGCAGAGTGCAGTAGACTGTGACGCTACTAACCTGATTTGCAGAAAACTCGTCATAGCTTTGTTCATTTCCATGCGTGTTGCATCCATTTTCCATCCATCATTTTTTGAATCCATCCATTTTCGTATATTTGTATAACCCATGGAATTTCGGTATGAACGCTGATGTGGACTGAATAAATTTAACAAGCTAACAGGAGTAAACAACTTTGGGCTGCTATGATGTTCATAAACCTGGTTTTAGAAAGTTATCACGACTGCTTTCTTTTTGAGCATTTGCAGTTGTGTTTTCAGACCTGAAATTTTCATAACATTCTTGGCAGAAATGCTTCGAAAAATGATTATTCAAAATTTTTCAAAAGGGAATTTTGTGCCCCATGTTTCCTTGCAATGCGTCGTATCCATCAGCTATCGTCGATGTGTGCGTGTGCCTGTGTGTGCTCGGACCGTGGCCGGCGCGTGGGCTGCACTGTGCGCGAGCGCGTGCGTAAATATATGTGAGCGTGCGGTTACGGGTGCGGATCAGGGTGCGGATATGTGCATGCTGCGGTGTGCGCGTGCAGGTGGTGCACGTGCGTGTGTGTGCACTTGCACTTAAGCGTGTGTGCGCATGTGCTATTTATTTAAAAGGGGCCGTAGCAAGTAACGCACGTTGTCGCGTCTCTGTACGTTTGCGTGTGCGTGTGTGTGTGTATGTGTGTGCGTGTGTGGATGTGCGTGTGCGTGCGTGCGTGCGTGCCTGTGTACTTGCTTATGCTAACCCCCGCCTCCACCCTTCATTATCCGGAGTAGGACGGCATCCCACCAGTGCGTGGCCGTCGTCTCCCTGAGGCCAGAGCAGCCCGCGCAGTGTCGGCGGGCGGGTCGCCCGCCGGTCCCGCTGCTGATGGAGCTCGTGGGGCGCGGCAGGCCGGCGCACGCGCGCGCCGCCACCGCCGCCGCCGCCGCCGCCAGTTGTCCCACGGCCGTGCGGCGAGCACGCCCGC